CCCCAAAACCCCAAAACCCCAAAACCCCTATACCATAAGTCACAATTGAAACTCTACTTGTGATAATTCTTAGCACAATCTGACAAGAATGATTACATTTCAATCTGGATCTCTGCTTCTGGGTAAAACTTTCTGACCATTTGCTCGAACTCATTTAGAGTCACTATAATAAGAATTAAGCCAACTAGTCTTGAGCAAACTACGTAATTACACGATGGGTGTAGGGCAATCATTTTATGACTTTAAGCCTTACCTGAGAAAGTACATCTTGTGACCTGAATGTTTTGTGTGGCTTGAATTCTGTTCTCTCAGCCAACAAGAGACTCAGCGAGTTCCAAGCTTCTCGCATCTGGAAAATTGCATTGTTGAAACATCAAACACTTGGTGGAATCTGATGCAACCAATATTCTTTTGAGCTCCTTCATTGAGATTGTGAATCAGTGAAAAGATAGTTTTTCGAGTTTGTGAATATTCTTCACGACCAATGGAAGGAACCACCTCAGTCTATCTCTTACATTCTTAGCTGATATAACCAGAGAGATTGTGTCATGTTTAAGAAAGGAGAAATACTTTTCATAAGCTTTTCTATCTTTCATTTTGTATTTGTAAACATATAACTCTTCAATCTTTGGGAGTCTGAGAGAACTGAACTTCTTCAGGTATGGTTTCCTGTGCACATCCTGCATACTAAGGCATATAGCTCCTCTTGACTGATAATAAGTGTCCAGACGTATTTGCATACATCCAACCAGGAATGTGATGTCGTCAAAGTCCTGCTCTCTTTCAAGGAGTCCCTTCTCTGCTTTGTATGAGGTTTTATTTGTTTTATATTGTCGATCTCAAAATTTAGAATTCAGAGATCTAAATATATTTATTGATGTAAATGCTAAAAATCCTGAACATGAAAGGTCAATGCTCTTCTCACAATGTAGCGCTTAGAAGGTCCTGTACCAGTGAACCTTTTCCACCAGCTTTTAAGACGTTTAGTGATGGTCTTCTTATCCTTATCTTTCTTGTAGCCTTCTGAATGTTTAAAGCATAGCCTGTGAGGATAGCTTATAATCACTCCTCAGACTTCTCATTGCTCAAGAGCATCCATTTTGTAATTTAAAACTTTGGACTTCAACTTGCTTATATTTACTTGGGGTTTTGGGGTTTTGGGGTTTTGGGGTTTTGGGG